CTCCCGAGCTGCCAGTACCAGCCAGGAGGGGCACGGATCCAACAAACATGTGGTTGCATTCAGCCTACCCAGGACCCTGTCCACGTCCTCGGGAGCAACAGAGTCAAACTCCTCCCATACAACCGTCTCAAGACCTGCTTCCGTCTCCTCCCCCTGGGCCAACCAGTCGGTATCCAAGCCTTCTCGGATCCGCGCGACTGTGTCATGCAGATAATGAGCAAAATCCTCGGCCCTCCCCTCCAGGGGATCCCCCCCCCTCAATTGAAGGAGGGAGCGGGTCACCCTGAAGAGGGCGGCCGGGCGGTTATCTGATGACACGATGAGTGAGGAATAGTAGTTAGTCCTAGCCACCCTCATCGCCACTAGGTAGGATCTAACATGTATCCTTACCTTACTTGTTTGTATTAAACAGGTTTGTTTTATTTTTATCCTGGTGTTCGTTTTTTCTATATTTTATTGATATATATCTTATATATATATAAGGGAAAATATATATTAGGGAAAATACGATCGATGGGGGCGGGTAGACCGGTTACGCGCTCGATGAGCAGAGCGCTGAAACAGCCGGCTTTATAGCAATATAACAAACGTTACTGAACTCCAGGATAAATATAAAAACAAACTGTTTTATTACTAAGCTTTCATCGGTCCTCTGCCGACGTCGTCAGAGTAAAAGCCGAAGGTTTGGCTAGCCTGCTTATATCACTGGTTGTTTCAACGACCTGCTCATAGAGTGAGTAATTGGTCCCTCCTCCCCTGGCCCCCTCCTAGTCAATCGTATTGTTCCTAATAGCGTCGCATCTGCCTGTGCGCGTTTGAATCCTGGCACTTTTTCTCCCCCTGCCCTCCCTCTCTCCGTCTGTTCCTCTCGTATGCGGCTGCTCAACATCATTGCCAGATCATCCTCCGGGCTTTCTCGTCTTGTAGTCTCAGTAAGTTGCTGCCCAATCGCGTCCGGTGGTGTTTCTTCCGTCGTCTGTCCTGTTTCGCCCTTACTGGTCTGTTGCTCCTTTCCTGCTGCCCGGGTGGATCGTGTTGGCCTCCCCCTCTCTCCGCTCGCTGTGGTTTCGTGCTGTTCTATGGGTGGGTGTCCTGGGTCTTTCCTATCCTCCCCCCTCCTATATCTGGGTGGTATTTGTTGCATCTGCTGTAAGTTTTTACACCATTGCTCATGTTTCCTTAGCGTTTGATAGGCCGGCAGTAGATCTATATGTCGGTTGATTGAATACTCATCTGACAACCAGGCTTCTTTGAGCAAACGGCCACTCTTCGTAGGGTCTTGGGCAATAGTCCCCGCTCCCACAAAGTTGAATGAATGGTTGCTGTCAGCCATGTGCATCCACACCTGTGAGTGCTGATCATGTCGTCTGGCCGCCAACTTATGTTCATGGACCCTGGTCTTGAGTCGCTTCACGGTTTCCCCGATGTAGTTGCAACAACAATCGTTGCATCTGACCTTGTACACCACTAATGCTCTTTCGTCCTTTGGCAACGGTCGTTGAAACAACCAGCGATATAAACAGGCTAGCCACATACATACATACACACACACACACACACACACACACACACACACACACACACACACACACACATGGGGCATGACAGCAGTAAGCAACAAAAACAATTTGGAAAGGCAGAGAGGAAGTTCAAAGAGAAGGTGGAAGCTCATGGGGCAAGGTCCAGAGTCAAGGTCCACAGGGCAAGGCAAGTCTGTGAGGCAAAAGGCAAGTCAACTGGGCAAGGCAAGTCCACGAGGCAAAGACACAAGGCAAGGCACAGGCATATAAACACGAGTGAAGGCTAACCCATGCCAGATGTTCCTTATTAGGAGGGGCGGGGCGACCTTCCGAGCAGCCTCGTAGACCTCCTTTGAGTTTACCTCCACTCTACTCTCTATGCCCTTGGATTGAGTGGGGGAGGCAGCTGTTCCTCATAACAGTATCTGCTGCCTCTCAACACCACTGCCTGTCTGCAGTCGACCACCTCCCCCAATGCCTGAGGGGCCTGGCAGCTCCTGGCCTATCCAAACATTCCAAGGGAGATGTGCCATCCCTGTCGGACGTTCCTGGTTCCAACTCCTCCGAACCGGGATCCGATGGGGCCATGAAACAGAGGGGCATAATTTTAGTTTACAATTAAGGATCTTTGAGGTGCATAAATACCTTTGGTGTGTTCTGCTGCCTGTGGTTTTGAAGAAATTTATTCTTACTTTCAGGTTTATTGCTCCATCTTGTCTAACATTCTTTTAGCTATTCTGCATTTTTATTTCAGTTTGTATATACTATCTATTCATTTTCTGTTTTTTCTGTTTTTAATCACATCTTTTTTTTCTATTCATCCTTGGAAGTAAAGTCCCAATTTATAGCCATGAAACTTTAATGGCAATATGATGTAGAATTTTCATCCCATTAATATTTATCTCTAGCCCATTGATAGCTTATTGCCTAGAATTTCAAGGAATACATGATCCCTGGAAGCTGCCATTAAGGAGGACATCAGTTCACCAAAATAACAGCTCAAATTTCTTTAATTTTGTTGAAGGTCTACCCTTCAGGTAAATTACATGAAATATTAGGGTTCATGAAATCATATAGTTTTGAAGAACATAAATTCCATACTTTAAGAATATATGTACCATATTCTTGATTTAGGATTCCCTCCTTTTTAGAGTATAGCAGAAGCCATTTTCTGGCAGTAATATTTTGTGTTATCTGATCGGTCCATATTCAGTGCTTGATCTTTTTGTGCTAATCTCTAAATCAGTGGCCCCCAACCTTTTGGGCACCAGAGACCAGTTCCGTGGAGAGAAGTTTTTCCGCGGACTGGAGGGGGTGTGGTTTCGCATGCTGCTTGCATCCCACGGATGGGGCTTCGCTTGTTTGCGGGGCCCGGTTTCTGGCATGCCGCAGCCTGGTACTGGTCCATGGACCAGAGGTTGGGGACCCCTGCTCTAAATGCAGCACTCATTAACATTTCTTTTTCTTTCTTTAGGCTGAAAAGCCTCGAGGGTTTGCAAGAGGGTTTGAGCCAGAACGGATTATTGGTGCCACAGATTCCAGTGGGGAGCTCATGTTCCTAATGAAATGGTAAATTTGTCCTTTAATTTTTGAAGCTCTCACTGCACTTCTTCAAACTGAAGTATGACATTTGCTTGTATAAATGTTGAGGAAATGCTGTGGCTTAATGTCTGTGTCAGAATATGGGGATATAATTCCTTAGCATAGGATTCATACAGTATTCAGTTAACAGTTGGCTATTTTTGTTGTTTTAATCTTGTTTGCCTGTGGCAGAATGTAAGCTGTTATGTTTGTTGACAGTCAGAATGGCATATAAGCTTGTCTGCCTAATATGGTGTCCTGAATTAGTTTGCTTGCTTAGGATTAAAACTTGATGTGGATAAAGTCTCTTGATGGTACAATATTTTTGTGTGCTTTAACTGTCTGGACTGTACTCTGATCTGGCTTTAGATTTTCCAGTAAAGAAAGGATGGTGTATAAATTAATTTTGAAAAACAGTATTGTCTGTAAATTCTGAAAAGTGATTTCTCAATTTAGAGTTCAGCCACCTTTCTTACAATTGTCCTGTGGTAGGGTTAAGTATAAATCAGCAGAACATTCAATATGAAACATTAACTGTTCTGGAAGATTCACATCTTGGCAACTCCAGAACAGCCAGATAAACATGACGTTGTGAAGAAGAAGAAAGTTCAACTTCTTTCTTTGGAATGAAATGTTATGCATGTAACTACAAACTTGCAGCCTCCAGTTTTGCTAAATTATAGGTAGTCCTTGACTTACAATCAATCGTTTAACAACTGTTCAAAGTTATGATGGTCTCAGAAAGGGTAAAGCACTTCCAGCCATCATAAAGCACTGCACTGTCCTCATGTGATCACTGTCCAGGTGCTTGGCAACCTGTTTGCACTTAAAACTGTTGCCAAACACCCTGCAATCATGTGATCGCCATTTGCAATCTTCTCTGCCAGCTTCCCCAATACAGAAGCCAGCAGGGAAGGTTGCAGGCTACTGCTGAGAGTACTCCCTCTCGTCTCTGAGGGCTTATTGAAAGAGCTGCCTACCGGGGGGGCAATCTTCAGTTCTACACGGACCTGAGATTTCTAGCCCAACAATGGATTTCTCCTCCCCTCTGTCCACTGGGAGGAAATCCTTTGTTGGGCTGCAGAAATGGAATTAAATTTCTTGAGGATTTCCCCCAATGGATGGAGGGGAAAGGAAATTCTTTGTCAAGCTGCAGGAACCTGAAGATTTTAGCTCCATCCCTGCAGTCCAATGAAAGATTCCCCCACCCACCCAGTGGACCTTCCCAGGGCCTTCCCCACCCCCTGAGGCACCCCATGGTCCTTACCTGGGACTCCGTCCATGTAATGACACTGGTGATCACTTAACGACAGCAGCTGTCAAGGTTGAATTGCTAAGATGATTGTTAACCTCTGTCACTACTCAACTTGCCATAGAAACAGGGTGGAGGGAAAGCCTGGGAAAGAAACGAGAGTTTCAAGAATCCTTCCACGGATCGTGAGACCCAAGGTCATCAAAAGCAGGTGTCTGACGGAGAAGTGGACCATTCCCATAACAAACAGAAAACATGTATTGGGCAATGTGAACACATGATGGATGGGGGTTATGAAAAGCCATTGTTAACTAACCAGATTTTTGTGTGGGAAAACTAGAGTTGACAGCAACTGGGAGTGCCAGGATTGTGGTTATTGAACAAAACATTCAAAGTTAACACTTAAGTTTTTTGCTCAACCACTGAGATTCCATTCCCAATTGTGGTCGTAGGTTGAGGACTACCTGTACTTATGACAGTTTGTTTAACAACTGTTCAAAGTTATGACAGATCTCCCAAGAGCACTTACAACATAGAGGTGCGGTGGCTCAGTGGCTTAATGATGCTGGACATGGTCTTTGCTCCAGCGGTTTGAGTCCTAGCACTGTGTGGCGGGGTGAGCTGTTACTTGCCTCAGCTTCTTCCCACATAGCAGTTCAAAAGCATATTCTATGCGAGTAGATAAATGGGTACCACTTTGGTGGGGAGACAAGCTGGCGCTTCGTGTGGATGGTTAGAATCCTGTTGGTGCTGGACCTTCCCGATTGTGACGCCCGTTTGCGAGGCAGCTTCGGTGGAGGGAAAGGGCCCTGGATGACACTGCAGGAAAGCTGCTCATCTTTCTTTCTGGTGAGGAGCTAGCTTCACCCCCTGTGGCACACCTTTGAAAGTACACAACCATGAATCAAACAGGGCTAGCAGTCTTAGGCAGCCAAACTACTACTATGCATTAGCATTGTAGTTTCCTGGCTAATGTAACATCGCCATACGCTAAATAAATAAATAAACTTACAACCTGTTTTCGGAGTTACATTGGCCACAGACACACAAATAGTCATGTGATCACATTTTGGGTGCTTGGCCATTCTCAGTGTCCAGCGGTCATATTACCACAATTTGCAACTTTTTTGCCAGTTTCTGGCATTTGCTTCTGATTTCCAGCAAAATTGCCCATTGTGGAAAATGGATTTGCTTAACAACTGTAGTTAAAAAAAACAGTTGTATCTTCGGATCTGATCACATGCCTCAACTTAACACTGCAATTACGTAACTATAATTCTGGACTCAATTATGATCGTAAGTCGAGGACTGCCTTTACAATTTCTAGCATCCCTCATTGTTAGCCATGCTGAATGTTGGGAAACAACCAGCCAGGCAAGGAGGAGGGATCAAGTGCAGAGTTAGCCTTGAGTCATTGCATAGTCCGAAGTGACCTAGGACTGACCCCCCCCAAGCAACTTTATCTGTTTGTTCCCATAAGAGGGAGAGTAGTCTGAGGAGATACTTGTATTAAACAGTGAATATAAAAAGTCTACTTCAGTTGAAAAACAAACATCTTTTAGGGGGGGAAATAACAATGAAAATGTATAATAATATGTTTGCATAGGTGTGCACACCCTCTTATAAGTAGAGATATGGCTTTGTTCAGAATTAACCAATCACATTCAAACTGATGGTAAATAGTAGACAGTACACAGCCGCATTCAGTTAAACTGACTGATCAAGCACATCATCTGAGCCCGGTTACATTTTGCAGAAACCTACATCAAGTCTGACAAAAGCATGTGGGAAAATGTATTATGGTTTAATGAGACCAAGGTTGAACTTTTTAGCCATAATTACAAAAAGTATGTTTGGTGCAAAAACTACATTGTGCATCACCACAAGTACACCATACCCAGACTGAAGCATGGTGGTGGCAGAATTATGCTTTGGAGCTGCTTTTCTTCAGCTGGAACTGGGGCTTTAGTCAAGGTGGAGGGAATTTGGAAGAGATNTGGAGCGCTTTTGCAAGGAAGAGTAGGCAAAGATTGCCAAGGCAAGATGTGCCATGCTGATAGGCTCTTACCCCAAAAGACTGAATGCTGTCATCAAATCAAAAGGTGCTTCAACAAAGTATTAGTTTAAGGGTGTGCACACCTGTGCAACTAAGTTATTGTACACTTTTTGTTATTTTTTTCTCCCAAAAAGATTTCCATTTCTTTTGCAATTGAATTGTACAGCTTATATGTTATGATACAGGTGGAAAAAATTCTGAAGTGATTTATCTTGGTCTAATTTTTTTTACATCTCAAAACCCTGGCATTTTAATGGGTGTGTAGACTTTTTATATCCACTGTAGGTATCTTCAAGACACTACACATTGAGAGACTTTTAGTGGCCTAGGATGGCAAGAGACATCAAGGAATATGTAGCATCTTGCCACATATGCAGGACAACAAACCCTGGCATCAAAATCCAGCAGTGCTGTTGCAGCCCTTGGAAAAACCTCCCCAGCCCTGGCACATCGTATGACTAGACTTTATTCCTGACTTACCACTGGTCCAAGGCTATACCTCCATATTGGTGGTGGTAGATCTTTTCAACAAGATGGCACATTTCATCTGTTGTAAGGGCTTACCCACAGTGAGGGAGATAGCACAGCAGTTTTTGGACCATGTCTTTCACTATAAAGGAATGGTTTCTAGGCTAATATGTGATCATGGAAGTTGATTTACTTCCAGGTTCTGGAGGGTGCTGTTCCAACTTTTGAAGGTCCATATCAGCCTGTTATGAGCCCACCACACTGCTACAAATGGTGAGGCTGAGAAAACTAACCAGATGTTGCAGCAGTATTTTCCGATTTTACTGTACCTACAGCCAAGATAATTGGCCCTCACTCCTACCACTTGCAGAAATTTCCTACAATAATTTCATCCATATATCCATTGCTAGGACGCCATTTCAGGTTTTGTATGGAGGCATCTGAGGGTTTTACTGGCAGCATTGCAGGAAGGCTCCATCTCAGGAAGGGTAGATTTTCTACAGGAGCAACGTGCTGCTCAAACCCTCTTAAGGGAGCAATTAGACCAAGCTAAACTGTCTTACAAGAGGTCTGCAGATGCCCTTCAACAGGAAGGGATGCCAATTGCTGAGGGGGACAAAGTTTGTGCGTCTACCAAATTTTTGGTTTCTACCAGGCCCTCAAACTGGATGCAAAGTTTGTAGGGCCTTTTAAGGTCAGCGGGGGAATCCTGTGGCTTTTCATTTGCAATTGCTTCCATCTATGAAGGTCCACCCAGTTTTCCAGTGTTTCTTGCTGGTCAGAGAGGCCCCACCAAGCCCCTTATGATAGCAACAACCATTGCCCTCTCCAGTACTTGTTCAAGGTCAAAGAAATCTTGGACTCGGGGAGACAGGGTAAACAGCATACAGTACTTGATTCTCTGCAAAGGCTATCCAGAAGCAGAGTGTTCATGGGAAAATGCTAGGTATGTGTATGCTCCTGATTTGGTGCAGCAGTTCCACCAGCGATTCCCAGACAATCCAAGGACTTCCAAACTCCAAGTACCCAACCCCATCCCAGAGCCTGAGGAGGAACGAGTGAAGGAGTTAACCAGGCAGAGGGGCGCCCTCTAGAGGAAAGCATTGGAGCAGACAAACCTTGACCTTCAACTTCTGGGCTTCGCTTCCTGAAGGAAACAGAGGAATTCTCTAATCATTTAGATATTTTGCAGGAGTCACCACCTGTCTGGGG